GGATTGAACGTTAACTTTCATTCCTCAGGGCTCGGAGCATTCTTTCTGAAATAGAAACCTGACCACATCAGTCCTCTGTTTAAAACCTTCCTGGGTTCTAAGCCCCCGGACAGGGGCTTGCTTTAACACTGATCCTGCCAGCCTCACCCCACCTACACCCCAACATTCTTACACTCCCCAGTTCAATACTCTGGGCCTTCCCTTAGCCTACTTCTCTGCCAGGCTCCTTGCTCTTGTCTCTGTCCCCTCCTCCAGGACTTGGTCCCCAACCCTCCTCTCAGCATGTATAGATGGTGGGCAGGGGTGGGAAGGACACTCATTTTACAGCCATCACATGGCATTTTACAAGCTCCTTCCAACTGGCCCCTGAGGACTTTGTTGTGGGTCCCACTGTCCCTTGTGTGGGAAGCATCCCCATTCTGATGGCTCGCTACACCAGGCAGGTAATGTGCAGCAGCGTGGGTTCTTAAAAATTATTTTATCTGCGACAAAACCCGTCCTGGAGGCTGGGAGCTCTGCCCTACTGTAAGAGAAGGAGACCTTGCATCTGGGGCTTGAAGGACAAACTGAGTAGACAGCGGGTCAAGTGGGGTATGGGGACAGTGTGCTAGGCAGAAGGAGCAACAATGGCAAAAAGCCCAGAGGAGCACAGGGGACCAGGGGGGAGCTGTTGGGGGCCAGACATTTACTGCAGCGGGAGCTTTGCGGCACCTCAGCCACCTTCAACTCCTCAAAACTGTTCTTTGGGCGCCACCTGGTGGCAGGTTTTGATCTGAACAGCGCAGAAACAACCTGCTAGAGTCAAGGGTGCTGCCCATCCCTCTCCCTGGAACAGACCCTTCCTTCTTCGCGCCCCGCCCCAGAAATGGATTTGCTGTAAAAGTGACATAATAAGAGCCAAGGTGAATTTTTTTACTTAAAATCTGATTTTCCAGTTAGCAAATCAATGTCTTCTCACTGTAGAAAATGTCATACCTGAATGTTAGTGTGTGTGTGTGTATTTTTGTTCATATACATGTATGAGGGCTCCATTGTATTTAAACATACCTTGAGTCTTTTGTGGACAAAGGGTTGGTATGGGGTTGTGCAGTGCTTGAGAGCCGGGTGCTAATGTCAGATCATCCTGAGTTAGAATCCTGATGTTTCCTTTCCCAGCTGTGTGCCTCGGGCGAGTGACTTGTCTTCTCTGAGTAGGAAGTTCCTTCATCTGTAAAATACGGGTCTTAATGGAACACATCCCAGAGCTGCAGCGGAGATATATAAGACACAGTATATGCAAAAGGGTCAGGCCAGAGCCGGGCACAGAGGTGACTTGCCAATAATAGGCCACCGCAAACCTTGTCTTTTTGATTCTTACCAAAAATCTGTAGAAAGGAGATGGATTCCTGGGTTCAAGGACATGAAGAACCTCAAGGCTGCTACAATTTGCTAAAATTGAGAGGAAAATTTCAAGCAAGAGCTGGAGTCTCCGGCGCCACAGCTGTTCTCATTTGTCTCTGTATTCTTCCAGGCCTTCCTCGTGCAGAGCAGTTTTTAGGCATTGTAATTACAATGCCTGCACCCGTTCCCTTCATGCTATGACACTGACATTTTCCTTGGTGGCTGAAGCTGTCATTGACAGCCTTTGCCACAATTTCCTTAACCATTTCCTCAGTGTTGATTATCTACGTAGTTTAATTTTTCATTCATTCATTTGAGAAATATTTCTTGAGTGCCTGCTCTCTGCCAGGCATTAGACTAGGCGTTGGGATATCGTGGCCCACAGAACAGTGAGCTCCTTACTTGTGGTTGGTGGGACACACAGGAAAGAGCCCACTGTAAGGCGCAGTGAGCTGTGAGGGACAGGGCGCATCTGGAGAGACACTTCACACAGTTGCCTATCTCGGGATGGTAATTCAGTCCTGCATCCTAACCTTCTCAGCAGCCACAGTTGATGCTTCTCTTGGAGTAATCGCATATGGGGTTGGATTTCCTGCCAACACATTTTGGGGGTTCCCGAGAAGTCACAGGGTACCACGGCGTCTGAAGCTCTGAAAATCGAGCTCAAGTTGGCCTTGTTTCCTGTACCCCTTCCTCCAAGGCATGTGTTTCAACCAGCCCAGTCTGTTCCCTGCAACCCTGAAGAGGCTGCGTCTTCCTCTCACATCTACTCCCTGTGCCCGCCCCCAGTACAGGAACTCCCTTAGCCCTGGAGCCTTTGAACCAATGGGCAGAATCACCCCACCTGGTGGACACAACCTGGATGGGCGAGCTGGTGGGCAGAGCTGTGGCAGATGCCCACCCTCAGACTGGAGCAGCTCTTCCCACAGCCTCTGCAATGCCCACCCCACCCCAGGCCGCCCAACTCCTATCTGCCTCATTCTTACTCCATCCTGAAGACTCAGCTTATGCCCAGTGTCTTATGTGGAGCCTGGTCTGGCAAATTCACAGTAAATTCTCTATTCCTTGAACTCCTAAATAACTTTTGCTTTTTACTCTTTGCCTTGTTTGGCACTTAATTATATGCTGCATTGAGGTTCATTTGTTTATTTGTTTTTCTGTCTTATGTCATTATTTCATCAGAAGAGGTCTGATTTATATAGAGTAGAGGTATCTCTGCAATATATAATATACACTGATCATGGAAGAAGAAGTGGGCAGAGTTGTAGGCAGGAATGTTCTGGGCAGAGGGAAGGACCATCTGCCAAAGGTCCCATGCAGAAGAGGTCTTGGGACATAGGCCAAAATATCTCTATATGGGAGGCTTTTTCCAGAGTTGACAAGTAAAGTTGAAAGCAACTCATTAATTGGTGCATTTATCCTTCTGAGGACCACTGTGTTGTAGCTCCTAGAGAGGGGAATATAGAGATAAACCAGACCAGATTGGTCCCTGCCCAGACTAATGGAGGAGGCTGAGATGGTTTCTCTAGAGACCATGCGGAGGGTTACCAGTTATGTTGGCAGGGGAAAGAACTATTTTTGCCTGTGGGATTTGAGAAAAGCTTATGAAGAGGAAAGCATTCAAGTTGAGTCTAAATTTCCAGGTAGAGATAAAATAAAGAGAGGTCCAGGCAGAGGCAACAGTTACATGAAGGCATGGAGGCAAAGAGAAGGGGGTTATTGCAGAAGTGGTAATTATGAAGGGTCTTTTAGGGCAATTAGCATGATTGGGTTTTATTCCCCAAAGATGGGGCAGTTTCTTTGCAGGCAAGTTTCAGGTCTAGCTGAAGTGTGGAGGATGCATCAGGGTTTGATGGAGACTGGAGACAAGGAGGCCCATGAGGAGGCTGGTGCAATGATTTACCTAGTGACAGAAACCTGAATTGGGGCAGTGGTCAAAGGGAAGGGTAAGAGGAGAAAGATGGGAGTAAGATCTCAATACAAAACCTATGGGATTTGGTGACAGCCTGCTTCTAGGAAGTCAGGAGAGGGATATTAAGATTCAGCAACATTCAAGGATGCCTGAATGAAGGTGGTACCATTTGCTGAAACCAGGGACACCAGCAGGAGGGTCAGGATTTGGGGGAATAGGGTGTGGATGCAGATAGGAGACTGTGAGGGCTTTTCCTTGGTACCACGGACAGCTCCAAGGGTCTCCATAGGTCTCGACTCTATCCATGGCTCTTGACCTTGGCTGCCTTAGAATCAGCAAAGAAACTAATTTAACCTTCAGACTCACGGGCTCATCCAGATGCTCTGCATCAAAATCTCTGGGGGTGGGTTCAGAAGACTGAATTCTAAATAAGGACCCCAGGTCACTCAGTGCAGGTGGTCAGAGGAGAAAGCCATCGAGGCCTCCACAGGAAGAGAGAGGAGCACCTCCACAGGGGGGCTTGGGCCTTTTAAGGTTCTGATTGTACATTTCAAGGCATTTTATTCACCAAGTAAAATGCTAGACCAAAGTAAAAAAGGCTCCTGGAGAGATCAGCGAGGAAGAGGGCCTCCTTCCTCCACGACTTCTGTGTTCTTTCCATCCCAGTGCAGAATGTGGCAAAGTTCACTCATGGATAGTTGTGGTCATTCTTGTTGTCATCCTGCTGTGTTGTTGCACCTTTCCAACCCTATTTCCTAAAAACCAAACCAAACTAAAGCAAATGTGGCTCTTTTCTTGGATTGGCTTTAAAAGTACATGCCAACCCAGGGACTCAAACCAAATTGTCCACCAATGATAATGACAGTATAATTCCCAATAGCTAACTAGTGGAAACAACACAAATGTCCATGTACAGATGAATGGATAAAAATAATATGGAATATGCAGATAGTGGAATATTAGCCTTAAAATAGAATGAAATTCTGATGCATGCCACTACAAGAATAAATCTGGAGGACATTATGCTAAATGAAACAAGGCAATGTTTCCGCTTGGGTGAAGTACTTAGGGCAGTCAATTTGATCAAGAAAGAAAGTAGAATGGTGGTTGCCAGGGGCTGGGGTTGGGCAGAATGAGGAGTTGTTATTTCATAGAGAAGGAGTTTCCCCCTGGGAAGAAGTAGTACTTCTAGTTGATTGAGGGTGGTGATGGCTGTACAACCATGGGAATCAACTGAAAGCCAACGAATTGCATATTTGAAATGGTTAAGAGGTAACTTTTGTTGTCTATCTTTTACTACAATAAAAAAGGGACATCACAAGTAAAAGGAGTTGTTAATGCCCTCAGTGGGCTGAGGATCTGTAGGGCTTTTCCACTCTGTTGGAAACTCCCTGAGAACAGAGCAAGGTATTTCTGCTGTCAGTCTGGGGGTGCTCACAGGACTAGAAAAGTGGAACTCTTGTGCTATATAACTTGATATCCCTGGGGTCTGGACTTGTTATATCCATCACTAGATGAGATGTTCCCATGCTGGATTTCCCCCGGGACGGGCGGGAGGAGAAGGGGACCAGGAGTTACCCCAGTGAGTGTGAGTGTGCATGAGCGGGTGGGAAACTGAGGCTCTTGTTGGAATTAGATGTCTCTCCTCCCTAGTCCCGGGAGCCCCACGTGAGCTCGACGTTTTTCCACCCTCAGTTTCATTTCCAGCCTGTGCTCCGAATGCTCAAAAACCTAGAGAGTTTCCTGGGTGTGCTGGCCAGGGCAGCTAGTTGCCCTTTTCCAAGATGGCCGCCGGTGCCTCTGTGACAGGCCTGGTCACGTGTGCAACCTCGCCTATGAGGTCGCCGGGGCCTGGTCGGCGATTGTCCCTTCCCGGGTCCCGTCTGGAGGCGGTGACTGCCCTTGTCAACCTGAGCCTGAGCGATCATGGCAACGGGCTCGGGCGGGGAGCGGTTGGCAGTGGCGGCAGCAGAGGCAGTGGCGGCAGCTGGGTCGCGGGCCGGGGCGGCGGAGCGGCGGCGGCGGCGGCGGCACTGGCACCGGCACCGACCCTGAGCGCCATGCGGCGAGGCAGTTCCAAGAGGGAGGTGGCGGCTCAGTCGGAGGTGGAGGCGGTAGCCGCGGCCAAAGCAGAGACAGAGGCCAACGCGGGGGTGACGGCCGGACAGACCGGCGTGGACTCGGGCGCGGCCGGGGAGCCCGAGAGCAAGGCCGGGGAGGAGCAGTCCCAGGCCCCGGCCCCGGCCCCGGAGCAACCCTGCGCGGAGGAGGGGGATGCCCGCGTCGCCCCGCGGCGGCCGCCCACGCTGCACGCGCACAAGCCCAAGCCGGCGCGGGACCTCTGCGCACACGGGAAGCCCAGGGTCAAGGGCTCAAGCTGCAGGCGGAGTGTCCGCCGTCCAGAGGAGCAGAGCTCACAGCGGCCAGTCACCGTGGACAGCTCCAAGGCCAGGACCTCCCTGGACGCCTTGAAGATCAGCATCCGCCAGCTCAAGTGGAAGGAGGTGAGGCCCGGCCCCGCTGCGTGGGCACAGGGGGGTGGACAGGACACCTGCAGAGGACCCGGCATGGCCCAGGCCCGGTCGGCAGCCCAGGGCAGAGCGCCTGCCGTGTGCCACGCTGGGAACCCGCTTGTCAGCTGCAAAATGCTCATCCTCCATGTCAAGTTAGCCACTCCCTCCTTTGGCTCCCCTACACCTCTTTATGTCTCCAGATCTCAGCCTTGGCCTCCTCATGCTTGTTTAGAAGTCTGGGGCCAGGGCCTTCTCTGTTTCATTTGTTTAGTGCTCACTATGCAAGTATTGGGGATGGTAAACAGTTTGTAGTCTCCAGGCAGTAAGACCTAGGGTCTCACTACACCCTGCTACTTAGTTGTGCAATTGTGAGCAAGTGGACGCTCCTCTTTAGACCATTACCTTCTCTGTTAAGTGAGGACAATGCCAGCAATACCAATCTCATTGTTTTGTTAATATTAGAAGACTTAATATCTACTGTATAGCACATAAATATCTTATAAATGATAACTTCTAACACCTTTTCTCTTCCTCCGCCACCATCATGATAATCACCACTGTCATCAGAGCAGGCCCTGTGTTTTATGATTCAGAACTTGCCATATGGCAGTTGTCAGTAAGTGGTGGATGAAAGGATGACTAAAGAGATGACTTATTCTTCCTTGAACCCATTTTAGACCTGTTGGGGTCTGGGGTAAAGCACCACGACTTTCAGAGTATTCTATTGCAGTTGGCTGATTGAATTAAGCCATTTGCCTTTATTTGAGTCATATGGGCTATTTAATGTGTTTTCAGGAGTGTTAGTATTTTGGTTTAGGACAGTTGAGCCAGGAGACTTATACCAATCTATTTAACAGGTTAACAGGTTTGTAGTTGGCAACACAAAGTCTTATGTACTTAGCTTTGTGCCTTGGCTGTGGTAGACTTTCAGTAATGGTTTCATGAAGTTGGAGCCTGCAGAGAGATGGCCACAGAGAGGATCAATGTGATCAGAGGGTGGATGTCTCAGTAGGAAAGACTCATTTAATTTGGAAGAAAGTCAATTATCAGGCAGGGGAGTCTTTCAGGTAGGTAGGGGTCATCACCTGGCTGCAGGTGTCTGGGCCCTAAACCTTGGGACATGCAATTTAGGAGAGGACTTTTATGCCCAGGACATCTAGGGGAAAGTAAGGACAGGCTCCGAGTTTGAGAATATCTGGGTTTCTAGACAAAGACCCAGGTCCAGGCCAGAGATAGGAGGGTCAGAAATATAAAACTGAACTTGTCAGGATCACGGACCTACTAAAGAGTGAATCCAGGGACAGAAACCCAGCCACAGAATCAGGTTAGGCACACTGGTCCACGCAGGGCCTTTGCTTAGTCCTGTGGGAGGGAGACACACAAAATGGGCTAGATCTGTTCATTAGGCCAGATGGACTCAGCTTACCAGCCCGAGTTTATGTGTTCATTCTGTAAATGCCCACAATGCAGTGCTAAGCTCTGTGCTGGATCCTGGGAGTCACGCTTAACATAAAAACCTTGCCCTCAAGGACCTTAGAGTTCAGTGGGGATATAAAACACAAATAAGACATAATTGTAGTAACCACAGGGCCATTGTTGCTGCTTCCTGAAATGCTGGTTTCCCATTATTTGCACAGCTTACTCTGTCACTCTTTCAGACTTCTATCAAATGCCACCTCCTCCAGCCCTTGCTCTTGTTTATTTTTTCATAGCACCAAACCCTGCCTGACATTGTATTATGTATTATTTGTTGATTGTCTGCTTCCCTCACCAGAATGTAAGCTCCTCGAGGGCAGGGGCTTTGTTTTGTTTGCTGCTGTACATGGAGGTGCTTGGCACATGGAAGTTGCTCAATAAATTTTTGTTGAATGGATGAATACATTATGTGACGAGTGTTTCTCTCTCTCTGTGTGTGAAGGTGTCAGTACTGTGAGAGGCAGAGGAGGCCACCTGTGAAAGGGCTTCCTGGACGAGGTTAACTGCCGCTGAGTCCTGAGAGCTGGCAACGAGCCAGAGTTTTTTAGGGCAGTGGACTTGGGGTCCCTGGTGGAGAGAGTGGTACAGGCGAAGCAGAGGCACATTTGGGGCTTGGCATGTAGTTCCGTCTGGCTGGATCACCAGGTGGGAATTGGAATGGTGAAGATGAGACTGCAGAAGTAAGCAGGGGCCAGATGCTATGGGATTTGGACTTTTTTCTTGGAAGGAAGCCGTGTAAACCACTGTAGGATTTTATTCCATCCACCAGCTTTGCTACTTCGGGCAAGTGAGTTAAACTCTTAAGGCCTCAATTTGTTTATTCTGTTCAATGCCTGTGGGGAGAGCAAGTTTAGTGGTTCCCAGCCTCTCCAGTGCTGAGGCTTCATAATGATAGTGTTACCCTACATGAGCTTGGTGAGCCCAGTAGGGGGCTGGCGGTTTCCAGAGCCTTAACTGTAACTGCCCCCTCCACCCAGGTCTATCTTCTCCCACTTGGAAAGATATTTTACATAGGTGGAGAAGTTCATTCTAGCACATTTGAACATGATTCACTTGCAGAAATGAATAGATTTGTGATTGCACACTTAAATATCTCTCTTTCCCATTAATCTGTGAAGTCCTGAGGGGAGGGGAGGTGTCTGACTTGTGTCCCTAAAGCACAGCACATTGTAGGTGTTCAAAATGTTCATCAAATGAATGTGGAATACTTGCAGCAGAGCTCCTGTGTCATCTGATTCCTTAGAATGGGGAGTTTGAGAAGTGCCAGCTTAGATGAACTTTGAAACTCCTGCCAACTTTAAACAAACATTATAGTATTCTTAGTACCCATTAAAAAGTTGACCATATGGCAAGTAACGTAGTAGACCTGCTGCTAACAAAGTGGAAACACGCCACCTCCCTGGGCCACAGTTCCCCTATGTGTTGTGGGGTGATGTTGGGCAAGATTGGCTCCAACTCCCAGCACTAATGTTCTCGGAGCAAGAACGTCTACTTGGGGCTGGTGTGCAAGGAATGGAGCAGCAGTGTCCCCTACCTGTCCTGCTGTGCTGCAGCTGCAGGGCTGGGGAGTCCCTGCTGGCTGGCTTTGGTGGGGCTGGGTGGTAGCCCAGGTAAGAAATAAGATCACAACCACTAACAGAGTGAAAGCTTCATCTCCTCTTGTGGGTGTGTAGTGAGAAGCCATACAACATGGTCCACTGAACAGGGCGATGATGAGCCAGCATGTGAAATCAGAAGTCTGTTCAGTTGCTGGGCACAGCCTCCCTTCTGTTTTAAATTTTCTTTATTGTATACATGGAACAGCAATGACAAACACTATGGTGGGACCCTTTATTTACCTCTTACTCTATCAGCTGCTGTTCTTAGTGCTCTACATGCAGACAATTATTTGATTCTTCCATAACTCAATAAATTTAAGTGCCTTATTATGTCCATTTTACAGATGAGAAAATTGAGGTTCACAGAGGTTAACTTGCCCAAGGTGTATGGCTAGTGAGGGCAGAGCCGACATTTGAAACAGGTATTACATTTGGACCCAGGCTTCAGCCCTGTGCTCTCCCCACGTCCCTGATGGCTCTCTCTTTATCTGCAGAGCCCTAGTAAGGGGCTACAGATACAGGAGCTCCCAGTGTAGAGAGAGGGACAGACCTCTCCATTCTGCAAACATACAATGACAGTTCCTTCTGGAAGGTGAATGGACAAAGGGCTTCCCATGCAAAGTGGCAACAAAGGCAGGAGGGTGGATCTGGTTTTTGATGCAGAATGGGTGGCTTGGTGGTTTAGGGAGCCTGTGGACAGTAGAGAGATGAAGAAGCAGCCAGATCAGATTCCAGAGCGCATTGACAGCCGCGCCAAGGAGTCAGCAATGCTGCTGACTGCATTTGCTCACAGACTTCTTGCCATATATAGACCTGGCTTCTCTTGCCCACTCTCCTTCAGTCCCAAATGAACCATGCCACCCTCAGATGATTCATGCAGGACAGATCTAATTCAACTGTATTCACAGTGTTAAATTTGTTTCTCAAAGGGAAAATTTACAGATGCCAGACTTGTAGATAAGAATAAAGTTATTTTTAAATAGCAAAGTCCTGTGTACAAAGTCACCACTGAAATTGCAATGAGAAAAAGAGTGACGGCTCCTGATTCCTAGTTCAGGCTACTTGCTCCTGGAATTGCATGGTCCTCTTCCAGCCATGCCCGCCTCTCTCTCCCCGTGTCCTGCATAGACACCCTAGAGAATAGATGCCACTGTTGCTGTGAGCTGCCCTCCTTGGAGATTAGCTTGTGTGTGCACAGTGGTGCCATGGACACCAGCTTATATGAATGAGAGCTCTGAGGGACTTGATAGTGGGTCCTTTGTTGACAGTTTGCATAAGCCCCTGTCCTGAGGTCTCTGATGGTATGAGTTCTTTGTTTCAGAGACTCCAAATCATGTGTTGTATTCTGGAACTGACTCAGCCTTTCCTCTGACATTGCACAATTACTGTATCATCCCACTTACCAGTTATGCAATATTGATTTATTAATAATATGTGCTCGGCATTGCACTAAGTGCTTAATGCTCACCAAAAATTGTGTTGAGCATCTATTATGGATTATGTTGTTTCATTCTCACAGCTGCCCTCTGAAGCAGATCCTATTATGTCCAATTTATAGATGAGGAAACTGATATTAGAGAGAGGCTGCTAAAGGGCTACCCAAGGACACACAGGTAGCAAGTGGCAGAGCTGTCTGGGGCCTGAGCTTGTAGCCAGTATATAATCTATAGCATCTTCTTTGATAATCCTTTGCTAAAAACCATCTTGCAAGGAGTTATGCTACATCATCATGATGAACATGATCATCACTATCATCATCATCTTCTTTCCCAGGTAATAATTGAAGCAGGTCCAGCAAGTAAGTGTGAGTGAGGGCTCAAGCCTCATACTCTTTTGCTCGAAAGACCTTTAATAATCCTCCACTTCTTAACCTCATCCATCATCTGACTCACACCTCTTAAATGACAGAGGAATGAC